ATATCCCATTTATCATCCCATTTAGCAAAAACATTTCAAATATTGCATTCACATTTCATATTTCTAAAACATATTCATTATACTTTTATAAGCATGTTTCTCAAACACTCACACAAATAAAAGTAAGCAAATACCAAACACAAATTAAAGTATGTTTACCTCATGGTTTTAACAATAAGTTACCTTTTACAGTTTTCCTTTCTCCACAATCTTCACAACACAATCTACAATAATTTTTCACATCACATAGCATTAGTTTCAAACATTGAAACTAATAAACAATTTTGATAATAGAGTTAGAGAATATTACTTATTTTTCTAATCTCCTTGTATAAATTGATTACAAGGTTAGCATGATTAACTAAAATTCTAACTCCCTACTACCATAATCATACCATTAACAAGTTATAATCAACCTCCAAACCTCTAACGTTATAATTTTCTTCTTCATTCATTAAATCTACACAATAAATATCAAAAAATGATCAATTTAGTCTCAAGTTTAGAATTATCATTCTAAAACCTTGTATACATGTTTCTAATCCAAAATAAATTCATAATCACCACAAAGGAACAACAATTTTCTTCTAAACTTTATTTTTTTAAAAAATTCCAGTTCACTATTACTAGTAAATCTCTCCATCCCTATTGCATTTCTATAATTTAATAACATCATTTCACTTGTTAGAACTATTAAACAACAATGATTCCCTCAAGTGATCCTTAATATCACAATTGCAACATTTATAATTCATACAAAAATTGCTAATATTCTCATTCAATTATAAACTTCAAAACCAATTCATTTAATAATTAATACAACATTCGTTAAACTGAAATAAATAATTAAATTTGAATAAACCATCGTCGTATTCATACGTAACAATTTTCTCAATTAAAACCTAATTTTAATTCCTCAAATAAACTATTTGGACAAATTTAAACCATACAAACTATTACTCTAACATCGTTAGCTTTATTAAAATAAATAAATAATCAATTGAAATGCCTGTAAACTCAACATCTGTCAAATCTTAAGTTTTTCACTATCAAAAAATTTAAAACTAAAAAGGCTATGTAACTAAGACAGCTATTTATAATACTTACACAATTTTAAAAAACTTAAAACCTCATTCAAAATATTTTGTTATAAAGTTTTGAATCAAAAATCACTCTCTAGTTTCTCTTTTACACTCATTATATTTCTCCCTCTCCGTTGGACGGTGTAGAGGAAAGAAGGATGAAAGAATGAAAAAAAGAGAGAGGGTTGAGGGTGTTTTTAAAATATTAGTGTGGGTCCCGTGATGTATGCCTCCCACCTCTGTTGCTCCCCTTTTCTTCTTTTTAAATTTAAATACTCCTTCAACCTTTCGTCTCTTCCTTTCCCTTACTTCCTTCCTTTTTCAGTCACTTTTTTTATTTCTTTTCATTCCATTATGTCAAAATTGGATCAAATATTAAATTAGAAAGGTTAGCGATTCACGATTTATGTAGTCCAAATAACTTAGACCAATGATTGAATTAATGATATAATAATTAAATTAAAAAAATAATATGTGTATACAATAATTTAAATATAGTATTTAAACATAAAATTGCTACTTAACTTTAAAAACAAAGTATTTTAAGTTTACCTTGATTTAATAAGTCACATGATATAATATAATATTAAATAATTAAAAAAATTGGTCATTTTTAAAATTTTTTTTGATTAAAAACATAAAAAGAATCATTTTTTAAACAGTTTGGCTTTTAAAAATCGAATCGGGTTCCTGACTTGATTTTGATTTTCAGTCTGATCATTGGTTCAAAGCAACCTAATTTGGCCTAACTCTTTAAATGATTTTTTCAACTTAACCGATCCATTAGGTTGACCGGTTGATAATTTGACCGTTTGGTTTGGTTCAATTTTTCAATCACTAACCACCATGATATTATAAATTCTCAAATCAACTTTTATAATTTTTTTATAATTTTTTAAGACTCTCATAAAATCCCAAGGACATGAAAATTTATTTCTATATTTTTTGGAAATATAATTTTAATAATATTTTTATAGTTATAAGTATTCAAGTATAAAAGCAATTTATGTAGTTTAATTTAATTCCCTTTGGCCTTATTAATTCTCTGTCTCCAAAAAGTATGTATTGAAGTCAAGACCTTAAAATTTATCTCAAATAATTACATGATAATTCCTAGTTACCCTAGAATAATTTCTTTATATTCTCACTTAACTTCTAAAAATAAAAAATGGGATGTTAAAAGGAAGAATAAAGCAGAAAGGTCTAAATAATAGACCAGCTATGAGGGGAGAAGAAACTTTGATTAATGGTAAAAAGGAAGAAAAATCACAAATCGACGACGATAAGGAAGAAGAAGCACAAATTACTCACAATAAGGAATAAACATACAAAATTTGACAGTATGAATGTAGATTGATACTTGCTTCTTTTGTTGTCAACTATGACAACGCTTGAGATGAAGGAGGAAGAAGGTGGAAGGAGGCTGATTGATAATATTGCTGCTTTATGCCTTTAGATCTATATGATGCCTTCACAATGATAGCAATAAAATGTTAGATAAGAGGAAGGAAGCGGATTTTGTTAATTATAGGGAAGTAGAAAATAGGGAAGGATAAATTAAACTCAAGAAGGTTAGAGTTCTTATATTTCCTTATTTTTTAATACTAACCACTGGGCCAGACCAGACCATATGTCCAGGGGAGTTAGTTTGTGCCTGATCTAACCTGATAAAATAACTCCGTTTGGTCAACTTGATCCTTCATTAGGTTTTTTTTTGCACCAAACTACATAGGATTTAGTCAGATCATACTGGGTTACATTGGGCTACCGAGGTTCATATACTGCCCTGATTCTAAAAATACTAGTCCTAGATAAATATTATTGATAGTTCCCAAGCATCTCCATTGTACCACACATGTTTTTATTTTTTGTCTAATAGAAGTTATTATTCTATGAATTTTTTTTTTGCAAAAACATTGTAAATAACAAAGAATACCATTTTTTTCCTGAGATGAATGATACCTATTTAAAAAACTATTATGTGTGTGTGTGTGTTTGTATATGACGATATTAAGTTTTCAAAACACAAGGCTTTTGACTTAAAAATAGAGTTGTGAATAAAGGTCAAGCCTAATTGGCTATCATTTTAATCTTTGCATTTTTTAATGGCTAGGCTTGAAAAAATAAAAGATTTGAGCATGAAAAGGTTTTTAAAACCTATACTTATAGATGCTGGAGACATTACAAAGGTACAAAATTTCTAACCCTTAAGTCCCTGTATATATAATTTACTTAAAATTTTGAATTAATAAATGTGGATAATAGAACTTTTTATTATAGTTGATGAAAATGAAGTTATTGATATTGTTGAAAATTAAAATAGCATCATCTTCTATAAATAGACTCTTTGTAAAGGTTTCAGTGTTTTATTTTTGAATGGATATTGATGATAACAAGGACTAAATTTTTTATATTTAATTAAAATACTTTGTAATTTATATATTATCTATTAGCATGACTAAAAAAATTAATTTTAAAGAAATTACATGGACTCTCAACCTGATTTTAGAATGTTGTCAATGAGAGAGAGTTTGGAAAAATGTTAATTTATATGATAAAATAACTCTTGAATGCATATATTGAAAAAATTTATATATGGTAATACAGGTTGGGCCTCACAAAAAATATGATGGGTTGGATTAGAGAAAATGAGTTCATTTAGATATGAGATGATTTTAACCTATTTTTGTATAGCTTGTACCCACAGTGGGCTAATTCAAGGGTTGGAGTGTTAGCCTTTTTTTTTTTTTTTAGGATAACAAATAAGTTGAGAGGACAAACCTTTACTTGCTCGATCGACAATGACTCTTGACTTCTTAATTAAATTTTAAAATTAATTTTATTAAATTATTTTAAACTCAAAGCATAAAAGTAGGAAAACGAGTCAAATAATCAAATTTTAAAGGAGATGTAAAAATAACATTAATATAACATATCTTAAAATCGGTTTTCAACTTCATACAATATACTAAAAAATTAATATACCTCCCACGAATTGAAATTAAATCAATAAATGAGTCACATAATTTGTCCCTTATAAGTGTCGGTGTAGTGGATTGTAATTTTTTATTACATTAAATAATAATATTATTAAATTGTATAAAAAAGAATAATGAAATTAATAGTTAGACCAAAAAATCAATGAAACTAAACAATAATTGCAAATTAATACTTTTTATATTTGTATTGTCAAAATTCTTTATAACCTATATTATGAGTAAAAATATTGAAAAAAATATAGAATTGATGGAGCATTAGACATTGTCTAATTATACAATTTCATGATTTAAAAGATATAAAAGTTATTTTTAAAAACAAAATTAGATTAAATTATTGTGCAAGTTTTGATTAGAAAATAGATAAATATTGATGTGATAAATTACATATATTCCCTCAATTAAAAAGTATAAGTCATTTTTTGAGGAGTTAAATGTTAAATAATTTAAGGTATTTTTAATCTTTTGAGGTGTAATCATTGTCTTTTTTTAAAAAATACCTCTACTGATAATGACTTTATATTTATTATAGGGTGTTTAATAAGAATAAATATAAAAAAATATGATTAGGTTAAAAATAGACAATTACTTTATTGAAAGGTAAAATTTAATTAAAGATATTTTATTTTTTTAAATGATGGGAGTAACTAAATTGTGTGTTATGTGATCTGTACAAAGTCTAAAGCATTTCAAAAAACATTTGTTGCATTTTATTTTGATAACCCTTGATAGCTACGTGTTTAAACTTTTATTGCTACTCGGATAATTAAATTTTAAGAAAAAATATGCTTTTATGAGAAAAAAATAAAGAGAGATAAATTTATAATTTTTAAAATTTAAAAAATTATTAAAAAAATCTGTTTTATTGCACTGGTCGGCAGATATACAGCCTGACAGAATGGGAAGTGGGGAGAAAATTAATGAAGGATGGAGGTGGGAGAAGTGAAGAGAAAAGAAGAGAGAAGAAAAGGAGAGTCCTCTTCCTGACAGAATTCTGGTTACAGTAGCCCACACTGTTAAGCTCACGTCACGAGTCATGACCTGCTGTAACCCAACTCGTAACCTGTAGGTTGGTCATTTCACCAACTCTAAAATTTGAATCCTTACAAGCCGGGCGGGTCGTCAATAAGGCCGGACCAGCGTTCCCGCTGGAAACGGATAGCAACGCAGAAACGGGGTCACAGTACCACTTAAAACAACACCAACAAGTCGCAGCAGCACCAAGTTTAATCAGTCGGAGAAATCAAGCATCCAGCACCAGCCTGTGTAGCAGAGAAGGCTGCCGCTGAAAAGGCATGCTTGGTTTCGGCGTGGTCGTGAAGCAAGAAACCAAGGATCATTGAAAAAGAGAAGAAAGAGAACATGGAATTAATGGAATTATGGGCAATATTTGGGCCTGGTGTTGCAGGCGCCGTCTTCGGCGCAGGCTGGTGGATCTGGGTTGACGCCGTCGTATGCAGCTCCGTCAAGGTGTCGTTCCTTCATTACCTTCCTGGTTCGCGCGATTTTACTCCCTATATATTTCCGTTTTTTTTTTTAACACGTTATTCTTACCTGCTAGGGTTTGTATTGCGCGTCTTATGATTTTCCCCTTTCATGGATTAAGGAATTTTCGCATCTTTGGCGGCTTTGATGTTCAACTGCGTTAGGAAAGAAGACATCAATTATTCTCCCTACGACGAAGGCGAGTGGAGGTATGTAATTTATCCCATTTTGGCTCGCTTCTTCCTGTTTTCGTTTCTTTCTTTGTTTCTTCCTTCCTTTTTTACTGCGGCGGTGGCTGGCTGTTGGTTTTAGTTGTTTAGTTCTCCAGTTGATTTTCGTATTTCCTCTTAACTCAATTCAAGGTGCAAAAGCTCCTAATTATGGCCAAAATCGATCGCCATCATGCCGGCAGTTTAAAAAATGTCTATTAGTCCATTCGAAGCATCCAATAGTCTTATAGTAATATATTCAAAACGGGGAAGTGCCGAAGTGCGAACTTCTCTGGATTTGTATGATTGGTGATTCCATTGACACCATCTAAATTAAAAACTTCTGAAAGGTGCAAACTGACGATTGATTGATAATATCTACATATCTTTTCTTTAGGCTGCTTCAGTTTTGTCTTTCATAGCACAACAATTGAAAAACAAAAAACAAAAGAAAAGAAAAAGAAGCCAGAAGCCCTTGTCAATTTTCCAGAAGGCTTGACTGCGGCTAATTGGCGAATTGTATTCTAATGATGCTTGAGTGAAGAACATAGAAGCAGGAAAATGTGGTCGTTGTCCGGTTACTGGATTGGTGAACATTTTGTTAACTATATATGAAACACACCTTTTTGTTGTAAATTTATAGTTTTCTTGTGTTTAGGTTGAGGTCTGAAAAACAGAGCGCGGTGATGATTATATTGGTGATTGGAGTTGGTTTTTGTATAACTTTGCCGGCAATATTGAAGTTTCCTAATGTTCATGTAAGCAGTGCTGTAGCGTCCAAAGATTTCTCAAGTTGTGTGTCTCAGGTGTTCAACCTAGCATCTGACAAGAACAAATACATCTTGGCTTCAGAAGATCACTAGATCCGGGCTTTTATGCGCTAATTTACCACATTCATTGCTTGAAAGTTGCAAGCGGTCACCTGAAATTCGGAAGGGTTGAAAAATGTCCATCTGTTAGATATAAGTAAATCATTTTCAGACCAAAATTGTGCCAACATGAATAAATGTCAATGGTAAAGAACGCTATCTTAAAAAAACACGTGCAATGAGGTCCCAGCTGTGCCATAAATTGGGTCACATGGAAATTACAGTGTTAGCTTGGTCCATGCAAGAGATAATACGGAAAGTGATCTGAGATTATGGGTGTCCTTATTTACTTTAGACAAGCCATATTTTCTTTCCTTACATATTAGCAGTAGCAAAACTGCAATTTAAGCTATGATTCAGAGTCACCAGACTTCTGACCTGGGAAGAATGTATTGAGATAATGTCGTGGTTGATAATTTTTCCTCCAGTGACCCCACCGGGTTTCCTCTCCCAGTGGCTGCCGCCAAGTATTTGTAACTTGGTTTGATAAAGCTTTTTTTTTTTTTTGTGAAAACAAAATGCACCTATTAGTATTATTTTTTAGTGTTTCTATAGGCATCATTTCACATTTAAAAATTGATATCTGCAGGCCATCTTTCTGTCCATAATCTGTTATTAGGTTGTGATTTCAACTGAGAAAATAAATAACATGCTGGTTTACCCTTGGGCTGTCTTTTATTTAGATCTGACCTTTAACACCCTTTTTTAAACAGACTGAAGCTATGGCTCTTCATTGCTTACGTCATATCCTTCATTTCTTTAGCCGGATCAGTGGGTTTTCTGATACAAGATTCAATTGATAAATCTGCCCCTCCAGTATGGACTGGAGCTGCTGGTGTTTTGCAGTGTGTGTTCGTCTTGATCAGGCAAGTATTATTTTGACCTTTAACTATTAATCGGTTTCCTTTTATCTCTCTTTCCCCTGCTTGAGAGCTTATTACTGTCCTGAGAACTTCTTGCCTCCGGTTTTAATGCATCAGGTCTGGCATCACTTAGTTCATTGGATTTTTAGAGAATTTTGAGTTGTAAGACTTTCGAAAATCATATGAATTGAGAGTTCTAGGAAGCGAACATTGAAAGTCTGTTTTCTGCATAATTTTCTCAAAGTGAACAGAATTATAGATTAAATTTTAGAAAGATAACTATTTACCATTAAGATATGCATTTCTGCAGTTTTCTCACTTTTTCCATTTTTAAATAGAATTTTGAAAAAATTGATCATTTGGTCCTTGTGGTTTTAACGAAGTTGTAACTCAGTTTCTAAACTTTAATTAGTTATAACTTAGTTCCTGAAGTATTGACTCAGTTGTAAATCAGTCTTTGAACTTTGCCTCTTGCAATTTAGTTTTTGTAGTTTCAACTTCTTAAACATTGGTACCTATATTTTAAAAAATAAAATTATAAAGATTAAAAATGTTTTAAACTTTTAATATTTACAGGATTTAGTAATTTAAGATATTAGTAATAAATTTTAAAATATTTTTAATCTTTATAATTTTATTTTTTAAAATATAGGGACCAATATTTAAGGGGTTGAAATTTCAAGGTTTAAATTGTAAAAGACAAAGTTTAGGGATTGATTTACAACTGAATCAAAACTTTAGGGACTAAGTTATAACGAGTCAAAGTTTATGGAGTAAGTTACAACTGGGTCAAAACTATAGGAACTAAATGATTAATTTCTCTTAGAATTTTTTAAACAGTTTGGAAATCAAATTAAATGAACCTTGTTCTGTTGAGGTCCTTCTCTTAAAGCGTAGTCTTTTACTTTCTAATGTATCGCTTAAAAAGTTTCAAGAAGACATGAATTGATCATAAAACTAGGTGAGATTTTTCCAAATCTTGGTTGATCATATTTCTCTTTGTAACTTAAGCAACCTCGCCCCATATTTCTCTTTGTTTGCTTGCATGCTAATTTAAACCACGTTGCTTGCAGTGGACTGGTTTATTGGACTTCCCATGCCGAATAAGGCGAACTCCGTAAATCGTTGGGAGCTTCAAATTCTTCCGGGAGGCGTGTATCGCCCTGTTCACGTGAAATGGGAAACAGTTTTCTCTTGTAAATAATAAACGTAAATTTTGCAAACAATATTGAGTATCGAAGTAGGTTTATACTACTTGTTACGTAGATTGATCGTTATTCGGCTTAATCCAGTCATTTGTTGGTTTTCCTTGGGGATCAAACTCCTTTCGTTTTCCCCCTAATTTCTGAATGCGAGGCATACATGACCAAGTTATTGATCCTCCGCATCAATTGTTTATTTGAAGCTTGGAAGTTCCCTTATTATAGCCCTTTTCGCACAAACAGGTGGTTGCATTCGAACATGACACTGGTCAAGGTTTGGATCAGGATACTAGCATCAAGTAGCGTTGGATTTATATTACTTGGCAGAGAAATTATTACTCAAGAAGGCTTTGTTTTGTTTTTTGGTTTTTTGGGGATGTTCTTAGAATCAAGGAGGATGTTGAATTGAAAAGGCTAACGGTTTATAGTTTGTATGATCTAATCAGTTAGATTAATAGTTGAACTGATGATATAATAATTAAATTAAAAAAATATTTATATATAATAATATAAATATGAAAAAAATATGAAATTGATCCATAACTTGAAAATATGAAATTTGGACATTTCAATTTCGCCGCTCTGATTCATAGTTTTTAAGCGATTTGTGGTCTAAAATTTTTTGAAGAGTGTTTTATTCTAGCCTTATAGTTAAAACAGCTAGATGATTTAAATTGAATTAGTGGAGTGATTAGCTAGCAATTTGATTAGTTAGACCGTTTGGTCCAATCTAGTTTTAAAATCATTTGGTCCAATCTAGTTTTAAAATCATTGGCTTTGGTGCATATAAATATGTGACAAAATTCAATTGAGACGAAATGCTTTTATCAGACAAAGTACTGGGGGAAGTATTACATTTATATCTATTAGAGTTCACGGGCTTGATCAAGCTGAAATTGATCTAGCCTTTTTTCTAGTACAATAAATATTTAGTACTCAGCTTCAGCAATTCCGTACATGGTTAGGTTTGGTAACGAAACAGTAATTAAATATTTATCAATGAAAATATGATTATATTTATCTAACACGTTTCTTGAAAAATAATATTATATTAGAATGAAAAATAATATTCCGGAAAATTATAAAATGGTTTGCCTTATTTTTGCATTGTATAAAATGATATTTAAAATAATAAAATTATAAAATTATACAATTTTATAAAATTATAAAATGGTATGCCTTGTTTTTGCGTTGTATAGTATTATTTTAACATATTCCTTATCTTTTAATTTCAGATAAAATTAAAAGATCTCCTTGATAATCATGCATCCTCGGCTCAGCATGGCCAGGTATCCCCAAGTGGGTTTCATCCAAGCCTAAAAAGAGTTTTAAAATTTTAAAAATTATATATGAAAAATAACTTTACTTGTCGACATAAAATATAATTATAATAATCTAAAACTTCATTCATCTCAAAATGATATTGAGATCAAAAGTAATTATATATTATTTCTATATTAATGATAATAGATACATTTTTTTTTTCAATTTTCTCTGCTTTTATGGTATCATAGTCTCTTTCGACTTTTGCAACCTTTTTGGCCTCTTTTTCTATTTGTTCGGCATGAAAAAAATTTAAGATGACTCATCGATTTTTGTCCTTAAATGGAGAAGCTTTGGAGATATGCTATTAGTGATAAAAAATTTCTTGAATTTAATAAACGAATTGATGATTGAGATAGAATACATGGGAAGTAAGAGTAATGTACTTTATATTATATGAAAGAGAAGAGGTTGAAGACTTAAATAATTCTTGAAAGTATTTTTACGATAAAAATAAAATGGATTGGAATGGCTAAATAGGCAGCATAAGATGACCTCTCAATCATTCTTTTTTAAAAAAAAAAAAAAAGGAGTCAAAGTTAACGTGCGGGAACTCCCAAAGATGTGAAGATTCATCCAGTCTTTGATTTTTTTTTTTTTTTTTGCTTTACCTTGCACATGATGTTTTACCACCACCATCTTCTCCAGCTCCTCTTCCAATTTCTGATGAATGGGAACTCCTACTGCAACCGTGTACTGGATCACCGCCAGAATTCTGGACATATTCTTAAAGTGTTGGCATGCCTCCTGTTTTCTTTTTTTTTTTTTTACACCTGGTTTGGCATGCCTACTTGAAGATGCTACTTGGGTAGATAATGACTTACTGTCCATTTTTCAGAGAGCAAGGTGATATTCAAAGGGAGAGATGTGATAGACCATTACTCACGCACTGTAGGAAGAAGAAATGTGTACAACTTGGTCTCAAATTATTTTGTTTTTTTTTTATTTTTTTAATTATTTTTAGTTGTTTATTCCCTCAACATTAGAAACTGTCAGATTCTGTTACAGTTATAATTTTATTCAGTCTACTATGTCCATTAATTAGATTTAATCAGGCATTATTCTGTCACCGGAGATTCTCCTCTTGACTTGGTTAAATGAGATTATTGTTGAGAAAATCTAATTGATTTATCCTACCTTACGTATCAGAACCTAGTTAATACCGGAATCATTTTTACCCGAGACTTCCAACTTACGAATAAAGTGAATATGGATAGTTGTGTTTAATAACTCATTATTATAAAAAATAAAATAAGAAAAATCCGTATATCTCCTCTTTAGTTCTTTTTCATGCGCGTGGACCTTGACCCCCACCTTGACGTATTTTTCCCCCGTTCATGTGATTTTGGCCCATCTTTCTATAACTGTAAATAGAAATGTACAAGGGCTTAAAATATGGCAAATATCATACCAACATGATCTAAGATTAAAAGTAAACTTCAATTCCTTTTTTTCCCGTAAAATTGACCAAAAACATCGTAAACTTTATCATGTAAAATCAAACCCTCTTGAAAGAAATAAAAGATCAAAATACCCCAAAAGATGAAATTGCCCAGCGCCTTCAAAGCAGACAAAATATCCCCTACGCTATGCCTAGCCAACCAACCTATAAGTTTTAACTAAAAAGGTAAAAAAGGTTATGCAGGCAGGATTGAGGCACCTGTGACTTATTGCCATATTTGCAAAATGCAGGTTTCAAAACCCACCCTCTTCCTTCAACCCACATCATCAGCCTTCTTTCAAAGCGAAAGGGAAGAACGTAACTAGCCATCTGCCATCAAAAATTGAATTTTGGATCTATTATCCACGATAAAACAGTATATCAAGCATCGGATCCAGAATCAGAAGAGCTTGATTCAGCTGATGCTCCACACAAGTTAGTTGCGTAAGGTTCAAACAACTTGGACAGCTTTGGCTGCATGCCTTGGCATAGCTTGAATGTGGCAGCAGGCCCCAACTTCATGAACTGGAAAACAGAAAGTCAACAAAAAATAAGCAAACCTGATTTTTGTTGATCACAGCAACAAATTTCTGCCGAGGCATTTTGGTAAATAAAAACTTGAAACTCCAGTACAAATATTCACCCCACTTAATCACAGCAGTTAGCAATTCGACCAATATTATTTTGTAGGGCACAGAATTATAATTGACTACAGCCACTCATGACAAAGCAACCTTGGCAAAAGAAAAGCTCTATAAAAGGCAAATAAATTGATGCAAGCATGACCACATACAGAATACATAATATACAAAACTTCTAGCCAGCTGTACTTTGCAATACGGATTGCCCACCTAGATCATAGATAAACAAAGAAATTTTACAGTTCCAATTTATAATGATCCCAAAAAACAGAAAAACTAAAGGAGGAGTAAGTGTTGCTCACTTCCTGATAGAAGGCATTGATCTCCTCTTCTGTAAGGCCTTCATCCTCACCAGAATTTTCCTCCCACCCAAGAGAACGAAGGAATGCAGCCTCTTCCTCATCAGGATACACAGTATCACTTTGAACTGAATATTTCTCTTCACCATCAGGTAACCTGCGAGCCTCTTCATGGGCATCACCATTAATAGTCACTTCAGCAACATTTCTAAGAGCTTGAGGACATGAAGCAGGACTGACTACATCCCCAGCTAATTCAGAAGATTTTTCCATTGTGGGAGACGAAAGCAGGGGGGCAGAATCAGTATTACCAGTAGAGGAGTTCATCAGAGTTTTCTTCTTAATGAGATTGAAGAAATCATTGCGACTCTGTACTTGAGACAAGGAAGGCTTCTTATCCATAGTGGAACCCAATTTTGGATCCAGTGTTGTTGGCTTCCGGTCTGTGGAAGATTTCAGATTATTGGGGTTCCTCAAAGGTGCAGAAACAGTAGCAAGATTATTCCCAGATCTGATGTTAGAAAAATTTGTTGGAGATGAAACATCCTTAGAAGTGGGGGAAAGACCATTTTCCCACACCACTGATTTAAGATCAGTAAATTTCCCAGATGTCTTTGGAGCATCTGACTTAGCATTTCCACCACGAATGGATAGATTAGAAATGTGTGATAAGGCGGGTTGCTGTAGCCCACTCTTGCCAACAACATTCAGCTCAGGAGTTCTGACTGCTGTTTTGGGCTTTAACTTCTCAGAAGAAGTAAGAACCTGAGTGGGAAAGTCTCACGAAATTACCAAGTATTCAATTGTAGAAACTAAAAATACAAACCGCTGTCTATCAATTAAAAAAGTGGCACCTAACACAAATGATTGAACTTTAAAATTTTATTCATCCATACATCAAAAAAGTTCTAGCCTATCAATATCAACACAAAAAAATGGCAATAAAATGAGACAACTACTTCTAATATGCTTCACCACATGAATTTAGCTAAATAATATAATTCTTTTACCACAAGAAAAAAATGTAACGGCTAATCAACCAATTCTGCCACATATCAAACTCGATTCATGATTCATAATTAAGAACTCAAATTGCAATCAGTCACCCATCATGCGGAAGACAGAAATACAAATACTATAACATTAAAATGAAAGATATCATAATAATATTATTATAATACAACTTAATAAAACGAGGGATCCCAAGAACACCTCTTCACATGGCTATTCTATGATGAGAATAGGTAACAAATAAAGAGCTTGTAACTTGTATGAGAAGAAACAATCAAATAAAAGAGGCAAAACATGTTCTTTCCAAATGTACATTGAACACGCAATGTCAAAAACACAGGCTAAGCATGCTTAAGTTAGAGAAAGCCAAGCAAGATGTCAAAAATTACATTTATTTGCCCTAATATAAAGCCAAAGTAGTTCCACCAATGAAGAAACCAACGTTTTTAGCCAAAAACCAC